TGGACAAGTCACATTCATTGATGTCTACAAATCGTTACAAATAAGAAAAAATGTATTTAGTAAGAAATAATATCATTTATATAGAAAACAAAGAACAAAATTCAATAAAACAAACCAGTTTGAAAAACACAACTTTCAATAATGATATTTTTGAATAATGAAAAATCATCGAGTAAAAACGATGTGTAGATATTGCATTTAATACAGGCTCTTTATTTATGCAATATTTAAAGTATGAAACTATACAAACAATTAACTGGTCATACGTTTTTATACCTAATGCTAAAATAGCTAGTAACCTAAATAAACATTTATTCGATGTATTATAAGAAATTATAAAGCATTCAACAAAGCATATCAGCATTAACAAAAAACTAAAATTATATGGTCTTGTCACAATGTGCTCATTGCTCGCTCAATAACAAACGCTCTGGAAGTAATGAAAAATTATACAACATAGTGAAAAACATGAGAAAAAAAAGGTGATTTTTAATCGACAAGATTGTTATAAAAAAGATACTTATATATAAAAACATAAACATTTATGGTCAGTTGAAAAACGAAGTGATGCATTTGATGCATTTCTTAATTGTTCAGATTGAATTTATTGCAACAAGATATCTTTTATTTTTTGTCTTTTAGTATTCAAACTGTTTTATTTATATGAATGTTTGTACAAAACTTTTGTACTTTTTTTATTCTTTTTTCGTTGATTTCATTGAATTCAAATAAATGTGTTTACTGTGTATATATATTTTATTACCAAGGCATTGGTCTGTGAGCAACTCTATTCCACCGTTACTCGTATTGAAACCACTTTTACATGTGCAGTTGTACCCACCAACCACATTGTTACATATTGCATTAACTGAGCAGTTGTTTTCGTTTGACAAAACACATTCATTAATATCTATAACCATAAAAAAACTTATTAGTTGCAAAGTAACATATTGAAACAGAAGCATAAAAATATCATAAAAATGCAATAGCGTTCAAAAACAAAACTGACAACGAAAAAGAACTTATAAAAATCATCGCTTATATTACCCAGACACTGATCGGAAAGAGATTCTATTCCTCCGTTACTTGTATTGAACCCACTTTTACATGTGCAGTTGTATCCACCAACCAAATTATTACATATGGCATTAGCAGAGCAGTTGTTTTCGCTCGACAATTCACATTCGTTAATGTCTACAAGCAAAAAAAGATTTCACAAATTTTTATTCAAATTTAACAATGTTAAAAAAGATTAAAACAAAAAAACGTTCTTTTAATTGTTTGCTTTCGTTTTGCAAACAGCATAGAACAAACAAAACATGTGTTCCATCTCCTTTAATTCATATTATTCATGAAGTAATACTTTTTCTATGGTTTGTTGGCACAGGCCATCGTTTTCAACTAAATCTTGCTATATATTATGCTCATTTCAAACTTGCTTTTAAGGCATACGATACTACTGTTGACAGTTTGCCTCACAAAAATGACAACACGTTTCCAGCCTTTTAAGTAGATAATGCTGATGAAATTCGCTCTTAACTCCAATTTACAAATGATAAGTTTTCATGCAATTGTTGGCAATGTTTTGAGACAATTTAAAAACAGTTCATGCTCATTATTAGGCTGCATGGAACACACACAACAAAAATGTTTTCATCAGATCATTCTTTGTTAGACTTATTAAAACAGAAGTTAGCATATCACAAAAACACAATATTAGTTTCAAGAAAAATGAAAATAACCATATCCTTTTTTTGAAAAGCTATATTACCTAGACATTGATTTGAGAGCAACTCAACTCCGCCATTAGTTGTGTTGAAACCACTTTTACACGTGCAGTTGTATCCACCAACAAAATTGTTACAGGTTGCATTAACTGAGCAGTTGTTATTGTTGGACAAGTCACATTCATTGATGTCTACAAATCGTTACAAATAAGAAAAAATGTATTTAGTAAGAAATAATATCATTTATATAGAAAACAAAGAACAAAATTCAATAAAACAAACCAGTTTGAAAAACACAACTTTCAATAATGATATTTTTGAATAATGAAAAATCATCGAGTAAAAACGATGTGTAGATATTGCATTTAATACAGGCTCTTTATTTATGCAATATTTAAAGTATGAAACTATACAAACAATTAACTGGTCATACGTTTTTATACCTAATGCTAAAATAGCTAGTAACCTAAATAAACATTTATTCGATGTATTATAAGAAATTATAAAGCATTCAACAAAGCATATCAGCATTAACAAAAAACTAAAATTATATGGTCTTGTCACAATGTGCTCATTGCTCGCTCAATAACAAACGCTCTGGAAGTAATGAAAAATTATACAACATAGTGAAAAACATGAGAAAAAAAAGGTGATTTTTAATCGACAAGATTGTTATAAAAAAGATACTTATATATAAAAACATAAACATTTATGGTCAGTTGAAAAACGAAGTGATGCATTTGATGCATTTCTTAATTGTTCAGATTGAATTTATTGCAACAAGATATCTTTTATTTTTTGTCTTTTAGTATTCAAACTGTTTTATTTATATGAATGTTTGTACAAAACTTTTGTACTTTTTTTATTCTTTTTTCGTTGATTTCATTGAATTCAAATAAATGTGTTTACTGTGTATATATATTTTATTACCAAGGCATTGGTCTGTGAGCAACTCTATTCCACCGTTACTCGTATTGAAACCACTTTTACATGTGCAGTTGTACCCACCAACCACATTGTTACATATTGCATTAACTGAGCAGTTGTTTTCGTTTGACAAAACACATTCATTAATATCTATAACCATAAAAAAACTTATTAGTTGCAAAGTAACATATTGAAACAGAAGCATAAAAATATCATAAAAATGCAATAGCGTTCAAAAACAAAACTGACAACGAAAAAGAACTTATAAAAATCATCGCTTATATTACCCAGACACTGATCGGAAAGAGATTCTATTCCTCCGTTACTTGTATTGAACCCACTTTTACATGTGCAGTTGTATCCACCAACCAAATTATTACATATGGCATTAGCAGAGCAGTTGTTTTCGCTCGACAATTCACATTCGTTAATGTCTACAAGCAAAAAAAGATTTCACAAATTTTTATTCAAATTTAACAATGTTAAAAAAGATTAAAACAAAAAAACGTTCTTTTAATTGTTTGCTTTCGTTTTGCAAACAGCATAGAACAAACAAAACATGTGTTCCATCTCCTTTAATTCATATTATTCATGAAGTAATACTTTTTCTATGGTTTGTTGGCACAGGCCATCGTTTTCAACTAAATCTTGCTATATATTATGCTCATTTCAAACTTGCTTTTAAGGCATACGATACTACTGTTGACAGTTTGCCTCACAAAAATGACAACACGTTTCCAGCCTTTTAAGTAGATAATGCTGATGAAATTCGCTCTTAACTCCAATTTACAAATGATAAGTTTTCATGCAATTGTTGGCAATGTTTTGAGACAATTTAAAAACAGTTCATGCTCATTATTAGGCTGCATGGAACACACACAACAAAAATGTTTTCATCAGATCATTCTTTGTTAGACTTATTAAAACAGAAGTTAGCATATCACAAAAACACAATATTAGTTTCAAGAAAAATGAAAATAACCATATCCTTTTTTTGAAAAGCTATATTACCTAGACATTGATTTGAGAGCAACTCAACTCCGCCATTAGTTGTGTTGAAACCACTTTTACACGTGCAGTTGTATCCACCAACAAAATTGTTACAGGTTGCATTAACTGAGCAGTTGTTATTGTTGGACAAGTCACATTCATTGATGTCTACAAATCGTTACAAATAAGAAAAAATGTATTTAGTAAGAAATAATATCATTTATATAGAAAACAAAGAACAAAATTCAATAAAACAAACCAGTTTGAAAAACACAACTTTCAATAATGATATTTTTGAATAATGAAAAATCATCGAGTAAAAACGATGTGTAGATATTGCATTTAATACAGGCTCTTTATTTATGCAATATTTAAAGTATGAAACTATACAAACAATTAACTGGTCATACGTTTTTATACCTAATGCTAAAATAGCTAGTAACCTAAATAAACATTTATTCGATGTATTATAAGAAATTATAAAGCATTCAACAAAGCATATCAGCATTAACAAAAAACTAAAATTATATGGTCTTGTCACAATGTGCTCATTGCTCGCTCAATAACAAACGCTCTGGAAGTAATGAAAAATTATACAACATAGTGAAAAACATGAGAAAAAAAAGGTGATTTTTAATCGACAAGATTGTTATAAAAAAGATACTTATATATAAAAACATAAACATTTATGGTCAGTTGAAAAACGAAGTGATGCATTTGATGCATTTCTTAATTGTTCAGATTGAATTTATTGCAACAAGATATCTTTTATTTTTTGTCTTTTAGTATTCAAACTGTTTTATTTATATGAATGTTTGTACAAAACTTTTGTACTTTTTTTATTCTTTTTTCGTTGATTTCATTGAATTCAAATAAATGTGTTTACTGTGTATATATATTTTATTACCAAGGCATTGGTCTGTGAGCAACTCTATTCCACCGTTACTCGTATTGAAACCACTTTTACATGTGCAGTTGTACCCACCAACCACATTGTTACATATTGCATTAACTGAGCAGTTGTTTTCGTTTGACAAAACACATTCATTAATATCTATAACCATAAAAAAACTTATTAGTTGCAAAGTAACATATTGAAACAGAAGCATAAAAATATCATAAAAATGCAATAGCGTTCAAAAACAAAACTGACAACGAAAAAGAACTTATAAAAATCATCGCTTATATTACCCAGACACTGATCGGAAAGAGATTCTATTCCTCCGTTACTTGTATTGAACCCACTTTTACATGTGCAGTTGTATCCACCAACCAAATTATTACATATGGCATTAGCAGAGCAGTTGTTTTCGCTCGACAATTCACATTCGTTAATGTCTACAAGCAAAAAAAGATTTCACAAATTTTTATTCAAATTTAACAATGTTAAAAAAGATTAAAACAAAAAAACGTTCTTTTAATTGTTTGCTTTCGTTTTGCAAACAGCATAGAACAAACAAAACATGTGTTCCATCTCCTTTAATTCATATTATTCATGAAGTAATACTTTTTCTATGGTTTGTTGGCACAGGCCATCGTTTTCAACTAAATCTTGCTATATATTATGCTCATTTCAAACTTGCTTTTAAGGCATACGATACTACTGTTGACAGTTTGCCTCACAAAAATGACAACACGTTTCCAGCCTTTTAAGTAGATAATGCTGATGAAATTCGCTCTTAACTCCAATTTACAAATGATAAGTTTTCATGCAATTGTTGGCAATGTTTTGAGACAATTTAAAAACAGTTCATGCTCATTATTAGGCTGCATGGAACACACACAACAAAAATGTTTTCATCAGATCATTCTTTGTTAGACTTATTAAAACAGAAGTTAGCATATCACAAAAACACAATATTAGTTTCAAGAAAAATGAAAATAACCATATCCTTTTTTTGAAAAGCTATATTACCTAGACATTGATTTGAGAGCAACTCAACTCCGCCATTAGTTGTGTTGAAACCACTTTTACACGTGCAGTTGTATCCACCAACAAAATTGTTACAGGTTGCATTAACTGAGCAGTTGTTATTGTTGGACAAGTCACATTCATTGATGTCTACAAATCGTTACAAATAAGAAAAAATGTATTTAGTAAGAAATAATATCATTTATATAGAAAACAAAGAACAAAATTCAATAAAACAAACCAGTTTGAAAAACACAACTTTCAATAATGATATTTTTGAATAATGAAAAATCATCGAGTAAAAACGATGTGTAGATATTGCATTTAATACAGGCTCTTTATTTATGCAATATTTAAAGTATGAAACTATACAAACAATTAACTGGTCATACGTTTTTATACCTAATGCTAAAATAGCTAGTAACCTAAATAAACATTTATTCGATGTATTATAAGAAATTATAAAGCATTCAACAAAGCATATCAGCATTAACAAAAAACTAAAATTATATGGTCTTGTCACAATGTGCTCATTGCTCGCTCAATAACAAACGCTCTGGAAGTAATGAAAAATTATACAACATAGTGAAAAACATGAGAAAAAAAAGGTGATTTTTAATCGACAAGATTGTTATAAAAAAGATACTTATATATAAAAACATAAACATTTATGGTCAGTTGAAAAACGAAGTGATGCATTTGATGCATTTCTTAATTGTTCAGATTGAATTTATTGCAACAAGATATCTTTTATTTTTTGTCTTTTAGTATTCAAACTGTTTTATTTATATGAATGTTTGTACAAAACTTTTGTACTTTTTTTATTCTTTTTTCGTTGATTTCATTGAATTCAAATAAATGTGTTTACTGTGTATATATATTTTATTACCAAGGCATTGGTCTGTGAGCAACTCTATTCCACCGTTACTCGTATTGAAACCACTTTTACATGTGCAGTTGTACCCACCAACCACATTGTTACATATTGCATTAACTGAGCAGTTGTTTTCGTTTGACAAAACACATTCATTAATATCTATAACCATAAAAAAACTTATTAGTTGCAAAGTAACATATTGAAACAGAAGCATAAAAATATCATAAAAATGCAATAGCGTTCAAAAACAAAACTGACAACGAAAAAGAACTTATAAAAATCATCGCTTATATTACCCAGACACTGATCGGAAAGAGATTCTATTCCTCCGTTACTTGTATTGAACCCACTTTTACATGTGCAGTTGTATCCACCAACCAAATTATTACATATGGCATTAGCAGAGCAGTTGTTTTCGCTCGACAATTCACATTCGTTAATGTCTACAAGCAAAAAAAGATTTCACAAATTTTTATTCAAATTTAACAATGTTAAAAAAGATTAAAACAAAAAAACGTTCTTTTAATTGTTTGCTTTCGTTTTGCAAACAGCATAGAACAAACAAAACATGTGTTCCATCTCCTTTAATTCATATTATTCATGAAGTAATACTTTTTCTATGGTTTGTTGGCACAGGCCATCGTTTTCAACTAAATCTTGCTATATATTATGCTCATTTCAAACTTGCTTTTAAGGCATACGATACTACTGTTGACAGTTTGCCTCACAAAAATGACAACACGTTTCCAGCCTTTTAAGTAGATAATGCTGATGAAATTCGCTCTTAACTCCAATTTACAAATGATAAGTTTTCATGCAATTGTTGGCAATGTTTTGAGACAATTTAAAAACAGTTCATGCTCATTATTAGGCTGCATGGAACACACACAACAAAAATGTTTTCATCAGATCATTCTTTGTTAGACTTATTAAAACAGAAGTTAGCATATCACAAAAACACAATATTAGTTTCAAGAAAAATGAAAATAACCATATCCTTTTTTTGAAAAGCTATATTACCTAGACATTGATTTGAGAGCAACTCAACTCCGCCATTAGTTGTGTTGAAACCACTTTTACACGTGCAGTTGTATCCACCAACAAAATTGTTACAGGTTGCATTAACTGAGCAGTTGTTATTGTTGGACAAGTCACATTCATTGATGTCTACAAATCGTTACAAATAAGAAAAAATGTATTTAGTAAGAAATAATATCATTTATATAGAAAACAAAGAACAAAATTCAATAAAACAAACCAGTTTGAAAAACACAACTTTCAATAATGATATTTTTGAATAATGAAAAATCATCGAGTAAAAACGATGTGTAGATATTGCATTTAATACAGGCTCTTTATTTATGCAATATTTAAAGTATGAAACTATACAAACAATTAACTGGTCATACGTTTTTATACCTAATGCTAAAATAGCTAGTAACCTAAATAAACATTTATTCGATGTATTATAAGAAATTATAAAGCATTCAACAAAGCATATCAGCATTAACAAAAAACTAAAATTATATGGTCTTGTCACAATGTGCTCATTGCTCGCTCAATAACAAACGCTCTGGAAGTAATGAAAAATTATACAACATAGTGAAAAACATGAGAAAAAAAAGGTGATTTTTAATCGACAAGATTGTTATAAAAAAGATACTTATATATAAAAACATAAACATTTATGGTCAGTTGAAAAACGAAGTGATGCATTTGATGCATTTCTTAATTGTTCAGATTGAATTTATTGCAACAAGATATCTTTTATTTTTTGTCTTTTAGTATTCAAACTGTTTTATTTATATGAATGTTTGTACAAAACTTTTGTACTTTTTTTATTCTTTTTTCGTTGATTTCATTGAATTCAAATAAATGTGTTTACTGTGTATATATATTTTATTACCAAGGCATTGGTCTGTGAGCAACTCTATTCCACCGTTACTCGTATTGAAACCACTTTTACATGTGCAGTTGTACCCACCAACCACATTGTTACATATTGCATTAACTGAGCAGTTGTTTTCGTTTGACAAAACACATTCATTAATATCTATAACCATAAAAAAACTTATTAGTTGCAAAGTAACATATTGAAACAGAAGCATAAAAATATCATAAAAATGCAATAGCGTTCAAAAACAAAACTGACAACGAAAAAGAACTTATAAAAATCATCGCTTATATTACCCAGACACTGATCGGAAAGAGATTCTATTCCTCCGTTACTTGTATTGAACCCACTTTTACATGTGCAGTTGTATCCACCAACCAAATTATTACATATGGCATTAGCAGAGCAGTTGTTTTCGCTCGACAATTCACATTCGTTAATGTCTACAAGCAAAAAAAGATTTCACAAATTTTTATTCAAATTTAACAATGTTAAAAAAGATTAAAACAAAAAAACGTTCTTTTAATTGTTTGCTTTCGTTTTGCAAATAGCATAGAACAAACAAAACATGTGTTCCATCTCCTTTAATTCATATTATTCATGAAGTAATACTTTTTCTATGGTTTGTTGGCACAGGCCATCGTTTTCAACTAAATCTTGCTATATATTATGCTCATTTCAAACTTGCTTTTAAGGCATACGATACTACTGTTGACAGTTTGCCTCACAAAAATGACAACACGTTTCCAGCCTTTTAAGTAGATAATGCTGATGAAATTCGCTCTTAACTCCAATTTACAAATGATAAGTTTTCATGCAATTGTTGGCAATGTTTTGAGACAATTTAAAAACAGTTCATGCTCATTATTAGGCTGCATGGAACACACACAACAAAAATGTTTTCATCAGATCATTCTTTGTTAGACTTATTAAAACAGAAGTTAGCATATCACAAAAACACAATATTAGTTTCAAGAAAAATGAAAATAACCATATCCTTTTTTTGAAAAGCTATATTACCTAGACATTGATTTGAGAGCAACTCAACTCCGCCATTAGTTGTGTTGAAACCACTTTTACACGTGCAGTTGTATCCACCAACAAAATTGTTACAGGTTGCATTAACTGAGCAGTTGTTATTGTTGGACAAGTCACATTCATTGATGTCTACAAATCGTTACAAATAAGAAAAAATGTATTTAGTAAGAAATAATATCATTTATATAGAAAACAAAGAACAAAATTCAATAAAACAAACCAGTTTGAAAAACACAACTTTCAATAATGATATTTTTGAATAATGAAAAATCATCGAGTAAAAACGATGTGTAGATATTGCATTTAATACAGGCTCTTTATTTATGCAATATTTAAAGTATGAAACTATACAAACAATTAACTGGTCATACGTTTTTATACCTAATGCTAAAATAGCTAGTAACCTAAATAAACATTTATTCGATGTATTATAAGAAATTATAAAGCATTCAACAAAGCATATCAGCATTAACAAAAAACTAAAATTATATGGTCTTGTCACAATGTGCTCATTGCTCGCTCAATAACAAACGCTCTGGAAGTAATGAAAAATTATACAACATAGTGAAAAACATGAGAAAAAAAAGGTGATTTTTAATCGACAAGATTGTTATAAAAAAGATACTTATATATAAAAACATAAACATTTATGGTCAGTTGAAAAACGAAGTGATGCATTTGATGCATTTCTTAATTGTTCAGATTGAATTTATTGCAACAAGATATCTTTTATTTTTTGTCTTTTAGTATTCAAACTGTTTTATTTATATGAATGTTTGTACAAAACTTTTGTACTTTTTTTATTCTTTTTTCGTTGATTTCATTGAATTCAAATAAATGTGTTTACTGTGTATATATATTTTATTACCAAGGCATTGGTCTGTGAGCAACTCTATTCCACCGTTACTCGTATTGAAACCACTTTTACATGTGCAGTTGTACCCACCAACCACATTGTTACATATTGCATTAACTGAGCAGTTGTTTTCGTTTGACAAAACACATTCATTAATATCTATAACCATAAAAAAACTTATTAGTTGCAAAGTAACATATTGAAACAGAAGCATAAAAATATCATAAAAATGCAATAGCGTTCAAAAACAAAACTGACAACGAAAAAGAACTTATAAAAATCATCGCTTATATTACCCAGACACTGATCGGAAAGAGATTCTATTCCTCCGTTACTTGTATTGAACCCACTTTTACATGTGCAGTTGTATCCACCAACCAAATTATTACATATGGCATTAGCAGAGCAGTTGTTTTCGCTCGACAATTCACATTCGTTAATGTCTACAAGCAAAAAAAGATTTCACAAATTTTTATTCAAATTTAACAATGTTAAAAAAGATTAAAACAAAAAAACGTTCTTTTAATTGTTTGCTTTCGTTTTGCAAATAGCATAGAACAAACAAAACATGTGTTCCATCTCCTTTAATTCATATTATTCATGAAGTAATACTTTTTCTATGGTTTGTTGGCACAGGCCATCGTTTTCAACTAAATCTTGCTATATATTATGCTCATTTCAAACTTGCTTTTAAGGCATACGATACTACTGTTGACAGTTTGCCTCACAAAAATGACAACACGTTTCCAGCCTTTTAAGTAGATAATGCTGATGAAATTCGCTCTTAACTCCAATTTACAAATGATAAGTTTTCATGCAATTGTTGGCAATGTTTTGAGACAATTTAAAAACAGTTCATGCTCATTATTAGGCTGCATGGAACACACACAACAAAAATGTTTTCATCAGATCATTCTTTGTTAGACTTATTAAAACAGAAGTTAGCATATCACAAAAACACAATATTAGTTTCAAGAAAAATGAAATGCCTTGACTATTTTTATTTTTAAATTTTATAAATATTACAAGTATTAAAAATTCTAGTTTTCCCATCGAATTTTTATCAATTTTTTTATCACATAAAAATTAATACTAATTCAATAAGATGAGTGCATAATATTTAAATACTAGTTTAAATGCTAAAATGTTTTTTCGTCTTTTTTTTAGCAATGAAAATCCTTATTTTAAACTTACTCAGATGCTCACGTTCAGCAAATCTGAATCTCACTTAGATACTAACTTTCAGCTTATCAGAAATAAGACTTACAAGACTGTAGTTAACTAAATTATTACATTTAGTAATAGCAATGAAGTTGTTTTTGTTAGGTAAAACACATTCATTAATATTTATCAACCAAAATAAATATACATTTATTTATAGTATTAAACTTGGTAATAAAGATAAAAAAAATTTAAAGCTTAAAAAATTAAACATTTTTAAAGGAAAAATATTTTATGATGACTTTCATTACCAAAACATTGATTAGAGAGGGATTCTATTTCACCATTACTTGTGTTAAAACCATTTTTACATATGCATTTGTATCCACCAAACAAATTATTGCATGTTGCATTAATTGAACAGTTGTTTTTGCTGGAAACAGCACATTCATTAATATCTATATATCATATGGCATGAAATAAAAATAAAATTAATAAAATTTAAAAAACAAAATATTTCAAAATTCATATTGAAATTAAAGGCTAATTAAATACTATATTTAATAAATTCGAAACAATCAAATGATTCAAAACTAAATGTAGGAATGAAAATGAAAATTTAAAGCAGGTATTGCCTATTTTATGATATTAATTATTTATTTCTAATAAATAATATTAATCAATAAATAATAAACTAAATTGCTTTAATTATTAAAGCTATTATAATTTATTATAACTTATTATAATTAAAAACTTATTAGTGTAAAGTTAATCAACTTTTTAATGAAATTCTTATCTAAAGAGAGATTTTTTTTTGTTAAAGTTATAAATTGTGAACTATTTAAAAAAAAATAATAATAAAAAAAAAAATATTATAAAATAATATATAAGATAAAAAATATAAATACTAAAAAAAAAAACTAATAAAGTTTTTTAAGGCTTTAATTTATCAAGTCTCCATCAAATCATATCTATCAAGCAAGCAACCTAAGAAGGTTTTGAACACAAACAATATCAAGACTAACACTGGACCTAGCATACAAACAACTATTTAAAAAAATAAACTACAAGCAAAAGTGAGTCTTTTCAAGGTGACTTTAAATTTAAACTAAAAGAATAGAATAAGGAGTTGAAGTTTTAAAATATAAATATACTTATCTAAATGAATATTAAAATATATTATAACTTCGATTATGAAGAGTTATCAAAATATCTTGAAGGAATGTTTAAAAAATTTTATGCTTATTATTATCATAGCAGAATCATGCATTTCTTTTATTAAAGTAAATTTTTATAAAAATATTATCAAATTAAAAAATTAAGTATTTTAAGTTAATACCTAAACAAAGATTAGATAGCAATTCAATATCACCATTACTTGCATTGAAACCACTTTTACATGTGCAATTGTATCCACCAATAAAGTTATTACAGCTAGCATTTGCTGTGCAATTGTTTGTACTTGATAAAGCACATTCATCAAAGTCTAAAAGCAAATATTTTATTATATTAATTTTTTTATTATATTTTTATATTTACTTATTGAATAAAATAATTATTATTTGCTATTTTGAAATAAATTAATAAATATTTTGAAATAATAAACGCCATAAAACATCATTTAAGTCTAAAAACAAATACTTGCTATGATTATTCTTATAATTATTATAATCATTCTTGTAGAGGATTAGATTTACTGCAGCAATATTTTTCTGGGAAATTTTTTCCAATAGGATCTAGCTGTCATGGGTTTTCTTGCTGCTTTTTTTTTATTTCAGTTTGCAACATGGTTGATTATTTCAAAGTTAGTTTTGTCAGTGTAAGATTATGTTATGACAGATCAAAAAAAAAAAACAATATTGACAACACAAAAAAAACTCTTTTCTTTTTTTTATTTCATAAACAAAACCTCAATGTTTACCTTGGCATAGATTGGATGTGTCATTAAATGCAAAACCAATTTTACAGACTAAAAACAAAAAATTATAAACATTTTTATACAAATATACAACCCTCGGAATTAGGAAAAAAGAGGTCGACAATAAATTGCTGATCTCAAACTGTTAGAGGTCGGCACCAGGGCGGCAAAAAAAGTGATACATAGGGGTTACCATAAAACATAGAAACAAGGTCGGCATTTTTTGTCGACTTCAAACACTTTTAGGTTGCTAGTTAAGTCAGCATTGCCAATTACCGACTACACAATATATATATATATATATACATATATATAATATATATATATATATATATATATATATATATATATATATATATATATATATATATGTATATATATATATATATATATATATATATCTTTATATATATATATATTTATATATATATATGTATATATATATATATGTATATATATATATATATATATATATATATATATATATATATATATATATATATATATATATATATATATATGTATATATATATATATATATATATATATATATATATATATATATATATATATAATATATATATATATATATATATACATATATATATATATATATATATATATATAATATATATATATATATATATATATATATATATATATAAATATCGGGTAGTCAGTATTTTAATATAGGTTCATTTTTATATTTGATTATGTTTTTTTATTTTTTATATTTTAATAACCTAAGATCAAGAACTAATCAGAACAGGCGACAGGTGAACATGGTTCAAATGTAGAACTAATCTACAAATCTACACATGTAGAACAGGTGTTGGTTCAGATTAATCACTCAGATGATCAGCATGTTTTCAATTGCCATAAAAATTTTCTTAAAAAAAGAAATTGTTTTTTAAAAAATACTGTATAATGTGTTAATTTGGTATTCCATATTATTAGCTAGTAGTCTAATGAAATGCCAATCATCTTTGATATATGCAGGCCTTGCGATAAAGCGTCAGGCGATGTGAATTTTACGTTGTCCAAGAGCAATTTTGCGTGTAGCTAGGGCTATTTGCGTCGAGCAAAAAAGTTTTTGTTTGAGTATATTTAAAGATATTTTTGAGCGGAATTTTAATGAAGTAATTTACAATTGTTTTAACATTTAATAAAGTATATTAAAAACCGCACGCAATTGATACAAAAGATTGAATTACAAAATTACTGCTCATTATTTACAAGTAGAAAAAATTCAGATAAAAAAAAAAGTTTAAATCTTTTTAAGGTAACATTTTAATAAAATTAATCAGCAATAGCAAAGTTGTCGATAAAATTGAACAAAAATACTTTCTTTTAGTTTTAGATATTTAACTTAAATAATTATTTTACGGGGGTTTGTTAGGTTTTAAAATTATTCCATAGATTTAAAAATATTTATTAACTGTTAGACGTATTTAAAGTATTTAAGAGTAATTTCGAGGAAACATTTTAAAAATTGGTTAGCGCAAATAAAAAAAAAATAAAAGGAATAATATTAAAACGTATTCTACTTGATTCAATAAAAAGAGTACAACTATTAAAATTTTTTTAAAAAGTAACTCGAAAAAAATTACTTAAATAATAACAATCGCTTTTTTGTTAAAAGTTACCGAAACTCAACGAAGCGTGCTCAAGATCAGCTGCTTAAAAATAGAACGTCAATAGTTTTTCGAATAATTTTTAAAAATAATTTTTTCGCTGAAATGTCTTTTATACCTATAAGATTTTTATTCTAACACTTTATTTTATTTTACCAAAAATAAAATTCTTTGTAAACATTAAAAATCTATTCAAAACGTTCGTTAAAGTTTTTTAGTAATACGTGTGATTGTGCTTATCAACCACTTTATGAAAATAAATAAAAATAAAAAAATATTATATAAAATCGCTGGTAAAAATATTAGCTATTGCACAGTTTTTAATCGTACAGTATTAAAATTTCCAGTTTATTACTTGATGACTTTTTAAAAAGAAAAAATAATTATTTGAAAAACTTTAAATTATATATTTGAGGAAAAAAAAATCAAATATTAGCATATTTTATAATCTTTTTTAAATGTTTAGTTATAATGTTTTTTATTTGTTTAGTATAGACAAAATGTGTCAAACGTCAAGAAAAAAAACAAATGTTTTTACATTTTAAAAAACGAAACATTCCAAAACATTTTTAAATAATAACATTTCTACATTAATGATTTAAAGTAGTTTTGCGGTAATTAAGTAAATTGATGCAGTTAATGTCGATAAATATGAAAAGCAAATAAAAAGAATTTAATGATGTCAAAAATCGCGTCGTGCTTATGCGTTGCGCAGTTTTTATTCATCACAAGGCCTGTATATGTCTTCAATTTTAGTTGAAGAGATGATAAGATTTTTTCAATGAGTTCAAATTGATATTGTGTAGGTAAAAAAGAACCTCCCATTATTTGTCTTCCTTTTAGATCATCTAGACATAAACATTAATATAATCTTTATTGGATTCTTTAACAACCCCTTTTATTGCATTCAATTTGTGAATTCTTGGAAACACATAAAAAAAAAAGAGTTTTTTATATAGGTAGTTTCCTTTTTTGTTAAACTTTTAATGAACTTATCAACAAGATTTATGAGTTTTTTTGAAACGATTATCTGTTTTGCTGTCATTTTTTTATATGTTTTTTTAATAAATGGTCTCGATATACAAGTTTATCTCTATAGTAATCTGCATCCATCCAAACCAAGCAACCTCCTTTATCAGCAGATTAAATGACAATTTTTTCAGCTCATCTTAAGTATTGAATTTTTTGTAATGTTATAGTTTACTTTCATTTCAGGTTATTTAGATGTTGCATTTGTTGCTTGATAAAGCATTATGCAACAAATAAATAAGGGATTAGGTTTGAAAATTTTGTGATTAGATTTATTTAATTTTGTAGTCCCACTTTTTGTACGCAGTTTCTACATCTTTATTAATATAGAGCATGAAGGTAGAAAGTAAATTTTTTTGGATTAGGGCTTTAGTGGTATAATTCCACACAGTTTTTCTTATTACATTATCAGTTATAGTTCAGATCCAAGTTTTTCATGGCAAACTTGTAGTATTAGAATTCAGACTGAAAATGTTAAAGATGTATAAAACGTTTGCGGCATATTAATGCTTCTTTTTTGTATTTTATGTCAATATTATTGTTTCAAAATTTAGATAATATGCACAAATCCTTTTTTTCCATTTCATTTTTTTCATTCATTCATCCATTTATACATTCAGTGTAAATCTTTGGTATAGTTCTTTTAGAGTGTTGACGTTGATTAAAAACTTTTTGACTTTTGTCTAAAAAGGAAGTTTACTGTTTATTTACAGAAAATTTATTTTTAACTACAAAATATCCCATTTAATAAAAATTTTTATGCAACAAGTAACATGAATTTTTGAAAACTTAAATCTATATACACAATATATATATATATATATATATATATATATATATACATATATATATATATATATATATATATATATATATATTATATATATATATATATATAAATATATATATATATATACATATATATATACATATATATATATATATATATATATATATATATATATATATATATATATATATATATATATATATATATATATATATATTGTATATATATATATATATATATATATATATATATATATATATATATATATATATATATATATATATATATATATATATACATATATTATATATTATAAATATTTCTATTAAATGTGGGAAATTTTGTAGTTAAAAATAAATTTTCTGTAAATAAACAGTAAACTTCCTTTTTAGACACAAGTCAAAAGGTTTTTAATCAACATCAACACTCTAAAAGAACTATACCAGAGATTTACACTGAATGTATGAATGGATGAATGAATGAAAAAAATGAAATGGAAAAAAGGATTTGTGCATACTATTTAAATTTTGAAACGATAATATTGACATAAAATACAAAAAAGAATATATATAAATATATATATATATATATATATATATATATATATATATATATATAAAATATATATATATATATATATATATATATATATATATATATATATATATATATATATATATATATATATAACTGATTTTTTGTTAACAATTAAAAAAAACTGAGTTTAATCATAAATTATTAGTTTTGAGATTTTTCAGTTTTACAAATGAGGTAATTCATTAATTTTTAGTTTTAGCATTACTTCTTGTAAAATTTTAGAACAGCAGCAACTAATTGCAATGTTTTAGTCTATACATACTCATAACTACAATGTTTTAGCCTATACGTATTCATTATCATAATGTTTTAGCATATATATATATTCATAATCACAATGCTTTAGCCTATATATATTCATAATCACAATGTGTTAGCCCATACATATTCATATGCTAAAATGTTGATAAAGGTTGAAACTGTAATATTATACTTGTAATTTTATCAAGAATCTTTTTGATCATTATACTGCGTTTATTAAGACATGTTATCCATTGCATCTAGCTGTTTTGTACCCAGTGCCACTGTGTCACATGATCATTAAAAAAAATTTCAGGCATTAAAATCATACAACAAACGTTTTTTTAAAGTATCCAGTGAACTAGGTAGTATCTAGTGAATCTAGTGAATAATGCAAAAGTTTTGAAAAGACTTTACTTATGATTACTTAAAACTATTTTTAAAATTTTTTTTTTTATACATATGCGGTATTTTTTTTATACGCATGCGGTAGTGGTGTAGTGGTAGAGCGCTCGCTTCATAAACGAGTGGTTCTGAGTTCGATCCCCACCACGTCCCTGGTAGTACCGCGCTCAACTCGTTTCTCCGCGCAGCGGCCTTGTTCGTCAAGGTTCGTGTTTCGGAGTTATAGAATTGAGAGAGGGTTATAGCCACAAAATAAGTAGCCTCCTTGTTTGTAGTGGCCTTCTCGGCCTTGAGGAGGTGAAGTAAAATAAATAAAAATATAATTTTTTTAATATTTTTTTATACATATTATTTTTTTAATTTTTTTTTTTTTATATATAATATCAAAATAAATTCAGAATAAAGTATTAATACTTACCAAATACTTGATTGATGGTGATAAAAGGTTCTTTCTTTGACTAAACTAGCAAAAACTTAAATGTGTCATTAGAAACAATATAATTTTAGAAAACTTGTTGAAATATTAACCGTTCACACTCTATTTAAAGGGTATATTTAAAATCAATGAGCAATTGGATAATTTTAGTTTTCTTTCTTCTCATCAGTAAATTTTTTGTCTGTTAAAAAAAAGTTTCGTGATTAATTAAATATCTTTTGGTATTATTGAGTGACTGATTGTTTCAATAATTAGGGTATTCTTGTTGTATTACCAGAAAGATATTGCTTTTACGATTGCATATTCTTTTAATGTATCGAATACATTTACTAATAGTAGTATTTACAATATTTAGTCTGGCAAACAAAGCCAAATGTTGAGTAATTAAATTACATTTTTAAATGTACATAAACTATTAAGTATAAAACTTGTTTTAAATAAAAATAATTTATAGATGATTATTGTGACAAAAAAAAATAAATAAAAGTAAACTTGCATTTTTTCTATATTTCTATATTTCTTTTTATGTGGAGATTTTCAAATCTAATATTTTCAAATTTTAAAATATTTTTAAATTTTTCAAATTTTATTTTTTCTAATAATAATTAAATATAATTCAGCAATCCAAAAAAACTTTGAAAAGGTTTAGGAAAAGTAAAGAAAGCAAATTTAAAATACTTTAAAAAATCGAATTGAAGGTTTTTGTCATATAATTTATTATGATAAAAATATTTTTTAGGTAAAATATAAAAATGTGACAAACTATTAAAATAAATTACTAATTCAATAATTTCATTGTATTCAACAGATAGAAACAAGTATTTAAGATCAATTACTGGAGAAATTACAGGAATTAAAAAAAACATTTTGCCATGGTCTGGGTATCTAATGCACACATATTCAAGACTTTTTTCATTAGTTCAGTCAAGAGTTATGTAAAAAGTATTTTTTATTCAATGTAAAAACAATAAGTATATTAGAAAAGCTGCTTTAAAGTATAAATCACCTTGATAAATGCAGACATCATCAAATCTTATGAAATCACCATTTCCATAAAGATTAAACTAAATATAAACACAAAATTTTTTTAATAAAATCTTAAAACCAGCTTTATATAGCATAACATGGTATATGAATTGTATATACCGCCTCATTAACTATAAATTACATAATAAACTAAATGAAGTTGTATTTAAAGGATGAATTTAGCTGTTTTCAAGAAACAAACTCAATGGAAATGAGTGCAATCTGTAAAGTTTTTTTATAAACCTATTGGTATAAAAATAGCATTTTGTATAGTTCCTCAAATAGATCAACCATTATGATACAAAATTATAGTAATGTAACTAATGTAAGATTTCATAAACTTTATATATGGGTCCTATATTATGAGAAAAAAAGATTTTTAATAGATAAGCTTGTTATAAGCATTATATTCTTTTTATAATGTATGTTATTAGTGTTACAACCCTAGTAGAAACATTTATTACATTTTGTGATTTTCTGTTAATGAATTTTCATCATTTTTCACTTTCATTAAATTTTGTTTAAAGCTCACACCTCATGATAATATATTCAGACAAAATTAAAATTATTTTTTGGGAATTATTTCATGAGTATATTTATTTATGTAAAACTGAAATAACTAATCAAATACTCAACATTTTAAAATACACAACTTCACTGATTCCTGTTAAATAAAAGTTTTTGAAAAGTTTTACCTAAACCATAAGCACTGATGTACAAACAAACTAAACAAAAATATTAGAAGAACATGATTATAAATGTAACAGCATGTTTGAGCAGGGACCATGATACTAATAATAAAAGTCAGAAAGTGGTGCAACCTTTTGATGGTGATGCAGAGGCTCAGCTTGGCAGCTAGAGCAGATTCAACAAAATTTGCAATACATTTTGGATCTTTCCTGAAAGAAAAAAGGCCATTATTAGAAGAACCAGCACAAATATGACAACGATATTTCCATACCATAGGAATAATAAGAGATTTACAGAAGTAGAGAACTAAAAATACAAAAATATGAAAAAGAGAGGCAACTTTACCAAATCCTAACTTTGTAATAGATATTTTATATGGTTTCCATTAGGGTTTCGTTAATGGATGATAATGCAAGAAGACATAAAGTAGAGGACTGAAAAAGAGTGTTACTATTTATTAATAAAGGAATATCAACAACATGGCACCAAGTATTATCAAAAGGAAACAAATGAATTTTGTTTAAAACTCACCATCTCAACCCTGTCAAAGGACCAAACTCATAATCAGCTGTTCTAATTAATCAAGTTTTTAATTACTAAGATCAGACAGCATTATCAAACATTATCATTATAACTGGCTTATCATTATTAAATGGTTTAGAGAGCAATGAAGATTTTCTAGACATCACTACTGTAAGAAAATGTTTTTTGAACTACAAGCAATAGATGAGCTTAGAGAGAAATAACTTAGCAGTTAAAGTCAGAGTGATTTAGAAGGCTAACAATGAATTAATTATAGATAGATAGTCTTTGCTTTGTTAAAATGGAGTGATTTGGGAGTATGAAGTAGAATAACTATAAATAAATAGACTTTTTGTTAATGACACTGTTAAAAATTTTCTTAAAGTCTCTAGAACCTAACATCTGAAACAAAATCATTTGTTTTCAAGAAAATTATTGTTTCAAAAAAAAAGTGGTTCTACTGTTGCATAATTTTTTTTACATGCACAATACAGAATGCTTGCATGTAAAAACTGATCTTTAGTTGTTAATTAAACACAATATATTTATTATTATTACCTTGGTGTGATTTAAGTAATCAATAAATTTAACATTATCTTTAAGTTTTTAAATATTATTTTTTTCAGACATTTATATTGTTACTTTGAATTATTTGTCACTTAATAGAAACACTCATTAAATATGCGTAGTATATATAAATGTTCTCCGGCTTTAGTTCACTTCTTAAAATAAACAAAATTTATGTAAACAGTTACTAATAACGTTAGCTTCTAAATTTATTATCAATAACGATTTTTGCTGTTAGATAAAAAGAAAGTGCTTGGTCAATATAATCAGAAATAACATTAAAAAGAGTACAGGCTAGATAAGAAGGAGAAGAATAAATAAGAAAACATATAAAAGAATAATCAGAGGATTCAAACCTGATACAATGAAAAATAGTATATCAATTAATATAAAAATATATGCACAGGTCTTTCCCAGGTCTTTGCTCAGGTCTTACTAAATCAAAGAATAACAGCCGTCAACACAGAGATCCCAAGATAAAACTTTAACTTCAGCTTAATCCAACTTAGCCTGACTAAGAGTCAGAAGTTCAAAAGAATGCTAACATACATTGACATATGTTTACATATAATCTAATTATACGTTTACAAACAATCTGACATTTTGTTTTTTAAATTTTTATCACATCAAAATAAAAAATTACATTGTTAACTTTATAAGTAAATAATGTAATTTCTTATTTTGGTAATGTGTTAAGAAATTTCTTAATTTAATTAATACGGAAACAGACAAATTTAAAAATGAATGTTAAAAAAAGGGAAAGACAGAAATAATTTTTATACATTTAGACAAATAACATTAATTAATATAATATAAAATACTAAATCACTTTAACCTATTTTCGAGATGTGTAATCTAATTGTTAATGCAATAAAATAAAATGCTTTTTTTGTTTTTTATAACTAACTAAAATTAACTAGTGAATAATAGGTGATCCCCATCTTCAGTATTGTGCTGCAATCACCAATGACATTTTAGAAAACTGAGACTTTCATTAAAGCTTGTCCAAGACATGTCCTTGCAATAAATTTTACTGCCTGCATTCTATGCTATGCTAGTCGATATTGCAATATAATAGGATTACACTTAAAAAGCAAAAAGTCCCAAATTCTATTTCAGCTTCTAGTCCAGCTCAATTCTTAAAGATCATGAAAATTTGGTAAAGGATGTGCGTGGTGTAAATTTGTGTACATGCAAATAAAAAGACATACACATATACATGCTTGTATGCACATATATTAAAATAAACATATATAAGATGCTTAAAAAGAACACCAAATAGATAAAAATAACACAAAACAGATAAAAATTAGTTTTTAAGAATTAAAGTAACTTATATTTGTTATTTTATATCTATAGTTGTAATAGTCATATAAATATAATAAAAAAATTATCAAGATCAAAACAAAAAAAGATAAAATGGTTTATTGTTAGCATAAAAAAAAATCACTATGGGATGTGGTAAATCCAACAGTATGGGAAATATTGATTTTGTAAACAGAGACAGTTCATTTCACACAAACAGACTTAGAGCATAATTAATTTATTCATAATTAAATTATTTGCAAAGATAAAAAAATAACAAAAACTCAATAGACAATTCCAATATTTAATAAACAGATAAGCCAATCAGTATGATATATTATGATAATATTGTAATAGAGGTCTGGTGTCAAGTATAAGTATTTTTTAGCATTTTTTAGGTATGCAAATACCTGGTTATTTATTTCAAGAGTATCTCTACATTGTGAATGTTTCCTTTTTGATTTTAAATATTTTAAATATGTTGATAGATAGTTATAATTTAAATATATATACTAAATATATATACAATATATAAACTTTATATTTATACTTTTAGGTCTAGCCCAGTATATGTGGTTTATCATGTATATGAATCCTTGTTTTGTCTCATTAAGCAATCGCTTTTCTCTCATTTATCTGCTCTTGCTTATGGTATAGGCATTGAGTATTTTTGTTGTTAGCTTTTATTAAAAAGCTTTCTAGTTAAGCATTTTCACGATTAACTATTTTTTAAAAACATTTTCATTATTAAACCTATATTTTTAATGTTTTGTTTTTGCTTAGTGCATACCAACAAAAACAGAGATATAATGGGTGCTTGCCAGTCTACATAGAATATCAGGAAACAAAAATGACCTCAAAAAATAATTTAAAAAAAAAAAAAAAAGAAATTTCATCCTTCTCTGAACCCCAATTCACCTATTTACAGCAGTGTGCTATGGTGTCTCTAGATTGAGACAGGACTTTATTTAATTAGTCAATCAAAAGTAATTTTCAATCTTAACATGTATGTCAAACAATTATTTTGTATGGTGAATTCAAAAGTAAACCATTTTCTACATGCTTGAAAGTGTTGAATTATTTATATATATATATATATATATATATATATATATATATATATATATATATATATATATATATATATATATATATATATATATTTTAAACCAATTTTATAGTGCAACACAGTAACAAATTTCAAGAAATAAAAACAACTTACATTAAAACCAGGTGAAGTAAGCGGATATCTTGCATTTAAAACAACCCAATTAACTGTATATGAGCTATTTGTAAGTAAACTTGAATAATTGTAAAAAATTCTGTTGGTATTTGCCACTCCAAAAACTATGAAAATATAGAGAACCTATAAAATTTTAGTATGAAAGCTCACAATCAGCAGCGAATCTACATTATTAACATAGTTTGTGAGTATAACAACAACAGAAGTGATACAACCATAAAAAATAATTTCTCATTCTTAAAACTCAAAATATTTTTTTAAAATATTATTTAGAAGTAAACAAAAATCACTAAAATTATTGAAAATTTTATTTTTATTAAGCAGAACTAAAGCCTTTTTCAGATTTTTAATTCACATAATATTCAAAAAATAAATAGTAAAAATCCAAACAAAACAAAGAAAGTACACAATCTTTTATAAGATCTAACTGATTGTTTTGAGTATTATGTTAAATGTATTGCAAGATTACCTATAGTTAAGTATGAAATTAAAAACCAATCCTATTTATGAACAAGTAACATGTTACTTGTTCATAAATAGAGCTGAGAAAATTAGAAGAATTTGATCACAGTGCAACAGTTGTGAGGTTAAACTGTATAATAAAACATTAAAACAAAAGACAAGGATGATATGAAGAATGTCGATGAGACAAAAGATAGGGAAAACATGAAGGGCAAGGATGCAATTAGGAATTATGGAAAGAGTAATAACAAATAGGAAAAATTAACACAATTTTTTGAATTTTTCCAAAAAGAATTTATGAATTGAAGCAAACTTAATCAGAAAATTAAAACTATTTATAAAATAAATTAACAAATTCTAAAAAGAAATATAATGAATATAAAAGAAAAAAATATATAAAAATAATAAAAATAAAAGTAAATCTTACAATATGCTCCTTTTGCAAAAAAATACCCAATTGTTATATAAAGATCAAAATTTTTTATATCATCATATAAGCTTGCTGGAACATCGATACGAAATGAACCAATATTTCCATAAATATATCCAGGACCATTGCCTTAAAAAAAAAAAAGAAAGAACAAGCTTAACTTGTGCAAAAATACATACATTTATATCACAGTATTGACTAATGTCAATTTCTACAAATTATTTCATTATTTAAATAATTTGTAGAAATTGGCAAATTTTATTCTAAAATTAAACTTTATCATTTTCACTAAGGCTTTTTCAAGACCACATATTTTTTATGTGTCCTAGTATTTTTGAAAACTTTTTCAAAGGAATTCCAACCAAAACCTCAAATGGAACAGAATAAAGAACTAAATTGGAAAAAATAAACTTTTTATAAATTTTTTATTAAATTTTTCAATTCTCCATTCTCTCCTACTGATAATGATTCTCAAGCTAATAAATTTATAGATTGTCTTGAAAATTGCTTCTTAAAATTGCTTCAATGCGTTAGTGATCCAACGAAAATTGCTTCAATGCGTTAGTGATCCAACTTACCAAAACGCAAACTTTGAATCAAAAAATATTTTAGATTTTCTAATTACTAATAATAATAAAAAAGAATGTTCTATTGTTCACTCATCTCCATTAGGCAATGCAAAACAAGGTCATCATTTATTAAAATGCAAGTATATACTAAAAGAATCTAATCTGAGTAATGAACGTAAGAAGCCTATAAAATTGTATCATAAAGGTAATTACAAGTTATTTTCAAAGTATTGACAACGTCAATTGGGTTAAGGAATTTAACCACAAATTAATCAATGAACAGTATGAATTGTTTCTGTTTCATTACAATTATGGCTCAAAAGAATATATTCCAGTAATTAAAAACTCAAAAACAAATAATAATAAAAAAAAGTGGATGACTCCTGATCTAAAATCAAAAATTAAGTTAAAAAATAAAATGTGGCTTTTAAATAAATAAACAAATTGGGAACATGAATCAATTAAAAATCAATATAATCATTTAAAAATTGAAATCAGAAACGAAATAAAGGAAAACATTAGGTCATATGAGAGGGAGATAAATAAATATAAATAAATAATTAAGAGGGAGAATTTAATAAATATTTCCATCCTATGTAGAAGATAAAGATGTAAACAAAAATATTGAAAACTATCAATTAAACACGATATTAGAAGCTGTTGAGATAACACAAAATGATAAAGAAAAAAGATTAAAGGTTCTTGATATATCAAAATCAATTGGAATTGATTTAATACATCCTTTTGTTCTAAAACAATGCAGTTCATTAATTTTATATCCTCTTTATTTAATATTTTAAAAATCTACAGAAGATGGTACTGTACCTGATATTTATAAGAAGGCTAATATAACGCCTATAACAAGGGAGCAGGGTTTAATTTAATTTTTTATAAGGTCCTGGACAAAATGTCTGACCAAAAGTTATTTTGGTCAGACATTGTCCGATCAAATTTTTGAAATAAAATTTGAACAAATAATTTTCACAAATATTTACATATATTCGTATTTGTTTAGTTAAAAGGAACGTAGGAAAAAGAAAGTTTTTTAAATGCCGAGAGTAAAAAAGTACTGCAGATGGGTTTGCTTAGATTATCTACTGGCGTATCTGAGTTTTACGGAACCCAATTCCGAAATCCAATCGAAATATATGTTATGTTTTCCTAGTTTATTTTATTTTAGGCTAGTGAAGTTGTAGTTTTTTTTCTCAATATTCAGAATTTTATCATCGTAGATCTTTGTAATTTAAATGAAATAGTTTAAATTCAATACTGCACATTTTTTCGGATAGACTTGAAGTTTCATTGAGTTTTTTTCTCTCGAAAACCTTGTTAGTTTACATTGAATTGCATTACCCGTTTATAAAAGTTATGTAAACTTTTTTACTTAACAAAATATAATATGCTAAGTGTCAGTTTTGCGCATAAGCTCCACTTTTAGCGCCAAAAAGGTATATGACATTCATGTAACTATTTTTATCAATAATAAAAACGACAAGAAAACAAGTTTGTTATAGTAATATAGTATAATAATGTCTTAAATATATTAAATATTAAAATAAACATATTATTTTTAAAACTTTATATAAAAAAATAAACCAGATTTCATTATCTGAAAACAAACTTTCTTGCTCAGAAACATTTTCGAAGAGGTTAGTTTCATTATTTTGGTCTTCCTCACTACTTAACGTCATCATCACTTAACGTACTTATTTTTTTTTCTATTCTAAATTTTTTTTAACTCTTTGTGGCATTGTTGTGTTGAACGACAACGCTTATGTAAATCCCATTTTACAATTGAAGGCATTACATTATACATTTCTAAAGGTGGACCGAGTTCGCCTATTCTTAATAAATGTTCTAATCGTTGAGTAGACAAGGAGCATCTAAAGTCAGTTTTAACAACATTCAACTTTGAAAACATTCTTTCTAGCTTAGAGTTGCACACGGGGATGGTAAAATGTAGTTCAACTAATGCCAAAACATCTTTCCAGCTCTTACACTACGGAGAAGAGAATATTTTTCTCCATGTACACAAATATGTTTGTGTTGATATTGAAAGGTACTCACGAGCATACTCTAACAGAGAGTGCCATTGACTTAAGACATCTGACGCATTAATGCCAGCACGTTTTAAAGGTGTTTCAAAACGATGTACTAAATAAGTAATGGCATCATCTGCAAACTAATTGTTATTAACAGTTAAGTTTTCTACTACTTCTTTCTGATCCCATCCTTCACAATTTAAAACTTTCGGAACAAATTTGAATATTTGCTTGCTTTCAGCTTCTTTCAGCTTCTTCTTCTAAGCGAACTTTAATGCAACTTTTTACGCGTTTATAAAATTCTTTTTTTTTGGATTTAACAAAATTAACTAACCTGTCATAATTTTTCAGCTCGATATCTTGAAAATAATATTTTCTCTCCTTACAAGTAACTTTCGAAACCAAGTATTTTACATGTGGGAGTTTTTCAAATTCTTTTTTTTTTAATAAATCCAAGCGATCTTTTGTTTTTGACAGAAAAAAAAATTGTATTAACGGTGTCAATTTTATCACTTTGCATAGAAACAGATAACTCTGATGCAATTCCAAGTAAGTTAATATACATACTTAAAAGAAATAGCATTTTACTGTCATTCCACTTCGCTAGATAACCCTTAAGTTTAGCTCGCTCTATAGTTTTGGTCGATGGATGACAAATATTTTCAGTGCTGAATATAAATTCCCCACTTGTCAAGACACATTTTCATAGCAGCAATTTTGTTGGAAATCCATCGAGTACCGTTGCATTTTTTGGGACGATATCCACCAACACTAAATTCCACTCCTTCTTTGTAAGCATTGTAGATTTCTTTTAATTGACAATTCTCTTTTAATTGAGTTTTTTTGAGGCCTTTTTGTAAAGATAATATAAGCATAAAAGCATTTCATCAATGTCATCAAAAGCCGTTTTTGACAAAGCATCTTTTAATGCAAGCTCAAAGCGATGAGCAACACACCATATAAATACTTTCCAGGCTGACTTTTTCTGAAGAATAACATTTGATTACTTCCTCAGTTAACTGAAGCACCGTCAGAAGTAAAACTTATAACCTTACTTTCGAACCCTTCAATTCCAAATTCAATAGATAATTCTTTGCAGCAATCTGCAATTGCGTCGTATACACCAGTAGCTGAAAAAATTTTTAAATTTCTTAAGCCTATGAAAATTGTTTTCACCTGAACTTGTAAATGGTAATTCGTTCTTTGAAATAAAGTATGCAACTTCAAACTTTTTCTTAATTTTCTCAATTTCTTTTCTATCAATAGCTGCTATAACAGAAATAATATCTTGATTACCTAACACATTAGCCATTTGTCTTGCGCTTTGATCAAGTGGTAATTTTTTATATTCATAATATAGTTTGCAAGCATATGCATGGGATTTACAAGACTTTGCATGACCACTAACAGCAGATTTTTTAAAAATAGTTGAACCCTGAATAAATGCATTTGAAAATTTATCCATACACTTAATCTTGTTTTCAAATTTAAAGCAGAACTTGCAAGTCAATGATTTAACTTTATCTTTTAAATCTAAGGAATATTCCAGCCATTCAGATGTAAAAACATCAGCTAATTCTATTTTTCTACGGTTGCTACAGAAACAGTTCGGGAAGATTGTGAAGTCAATGGGATTTTTGCATGGTTCAAGTTAATTTTCTGGCTTACCGATACCCCTCCGAATGAAGCAAAAATTGTCTTTTGTACTTTTTTGGCAGTTCAATTGGCTTGATTACTGCAACTGTCATAACTCTTACAGTACTACATTCTCTGCAACACTCTACTTTTTTATGTTCTTCGAAATAACTAACATCAACTTCAGATACTTCAACGGAACAAATGTTACATACTGGTAAGGAACAATCTCACACAAATACTTTGTCTTGCGGTTTAAGCATGCTATGCATAACAAGTCTGACATTACGATGAATTTATACAGTGTTCCAAAAATATAATGAAAACAAGTAGGTTTATTTCTAGTCAAAGATAATGCACTATTTAACGATAATAACTAAACAATTTTTACTGTAATAATCTGAATTACATTTATACTATTTGCCATTAAGAACGCTAAGTGTTATTTATCTTCTAAAGAAATTCTTACATGTTTACTCATTAAAAGTTAAATCATATCATTACGCTAGATATTGGTTATTACAAATTCAAAAAAATCTACACTCTTCGCTTTTACTCATTGAAAGGCGGTTAAATCAAATGCAATATGATATTTACGGGCTATTATTTAATTTAAAAATTCCACGCCCTGCATGTCATTAAAATTCGATCAATTCAACAAAGAAAATTTTATGAGTTCTACAGGTAACTATTTATCTACTTTTCAAAAAGGCACTCAT